CCCCACCCCCCCCCCCCCCCACACACACACACACACACACTCCCACCAGGCGGACAAATCGAAAACTTTCTGGAAGCGCCCCTGCAAGCCTTCACCGAACATCCTCCAAGCCGAGCTGCTCTGCTGCCTCTACTCATGCGCGAAGGAATTGACATTTCACCGCGTCACGTTGAGGAGTCCATTCAAATCTCAGGGTGAATGCAGGTGAGCGGCACGAGCAGGAAAACACTGTCAAAACGCAGCGCGTGGAGGTTTCGTCGGATTATCTGTCATCTCGTGAATGAGTTCAAACTGCACTTCCTCCTGCATCATCATCCGCTGTTTTCTCTTAAAGGGAGCGAAAGTAGCTCTCCCACGATTAAAAAAAAAGAAAAAGAAAAAAAAGAAGAAGCAGTAAAGATTTTTATATTTTACGACGCTGGTAAAAAAAAAAAAAAAAAAACCCGCTCGTATTGCCGAATGAGATAAGCCCTCCTCCATTCATTCTGAACGCAGCACGGCCAAAACAACGATGAAACTGTGTGAAGCTGTCACTGTCAAAGTGAGCCGCTGCGGCAGCGTGCCAACACAACTTCATAGCGAAACTGAGACTGAAACAAGCAGCGGGTACCTTGTGTTTACCACCGTTACAGACGGATTTTACAGAAAACTTCTAATGCCGCTCTAGTCGGCGGTGTTTGATCTGACAGGCGCGTGAAATCTGCTCAGTTCCGCTTAGCTCAACCAGCTGAGAGTAGATTTTAAAAAAAGAAAAGAAAAGAAAAAAAAAACAGACAAACAAACAAAAACAAAAAACAAGTTATATTCACCTGCTGCCAGTACTCCTCCAGAGATGGTAAGGCTGAGAAATAGCCCGTGTCGTGAACTATTTGAAGTTCTTGAAAAATACTACACATCGGTAAAACATCCATTTTTCTTCCCCGAACTTAATTGTCTGGAGGGGGTGGGAAAATAATAATAATAATAAAACAATCTAAACACCCGCGTTTTAAATAAAAAATGTCTGTGAAAGGAATAAAGAACGATCCCCTCTGCGATGCAAACGAAGGTTTGTTTGTAGCAGCAGTCCGTCCGTCAGTGCTCCACTTCCTTCTCCCCTCTCCCTTCGCAGCGCTCAGCTCAGGATATTTGCAAACAGCACACTAGACTGGCTGCCGGACAACTGCGCTCTGCAAACTTCCCCTATTCAAACCTGGACCCCAGCCTCCTCCCCTCCTGGTGGCTGCCGCGAATGTCCAATCAGCTTCGAGCAACGTACGCGACGGCGAATGACATCACAGCTGTCCAATCGGCGCGCTTCTACGGCTCAGTTCGGTTCTCTCGCCGCCTTGATTGGCTGACTTGATTGTCTGTTGCTCGTGGCTGATTGGTCGGTTATTTTTGGCGTGTATATAAGCGAGTGATGAGCTCTCTTTCCCCGTAGTCTTGACTGTCGGCTGCGAGTTTCGCCACAGACAGCGTATGTGAGCCGAAATAGCCTGATGTGGAAAACATAACTGCAACTTTGACACGAGTAACAGTTGCAACAGCGCTGCTCAGAAGGGCTGAGTTCGACCTGTAGCTGTGGTGAGGAGAATGTGTTGACACCAACCTCAGAAAAGACTCGGTGACTAAGAGTTGACAGTCTATTATTATGTTATCAGAACACACACATGAGCTAAGAGGAAACATTTGAAACATTTGTCTATGACTGACTTCATCACCTTTAAAGCAAACTTCTGCTTTTTTATTTTTTCACCTGCAACACTGAAAATATCAAAATGTACACTGTCCCTAATAGCAGAAGTTTGACTGTATTGGTTGAAAAAAAACCTCTTTTAATAACCTAATTTGCATTTAAAAGAGCAAAAATGAAGAATTAATATTCAAGAGCAGTTCCTGAAAGTTAAGGAGTTTGTTTTACCCCGGTGTAGATGTTATGATACGTGGGGGTGGAGAGATCTGTATAAATTAACTCAGAGTTATTCCCAAGATTGTTATAGACAAAAATAAGGAGTCCACACTATAGCTATATATTCAACAAATTCATAAAAACTAGTTCTCTGGCTTTTTGCTGCACTACATATTAGAGTTTTTATGAATTGTGCAGAGTTGCATTTATACAACTTTATGTTTACTCACAATAGTCAAATGTGTAGTTCTTTTTTTAATGAGATTCTCAAAGCATCCAATATTCAAAAATTTTAAATGTTAGCAAACACAGGCAGGGTTTCCTCCAGAAAACCTGTTAAGCCTGGTGGTAGGGGCACCTGGGCAGTTCACTGTGTTTTTGTGTTGAAAAATGTCAAAAGTTACAAATAATAATGTGCGAGGTCCGCACAGTTGGTAAAATGTGTTGGCTAAAAACCTAGCTTAATCTGCCTTTATTGTCACTATGACCGGTGTTTAAAAACCCTATCTAAAGTAAACAAACAACAATTAGCCTGGTGGGAAGGGAAGAAGTAAAGCCTGGTGGCCCGCCAGGCTTATGGTAAACTGGGAGAAACCCTGACAGGTCCTAACTGACTCAAACTAGTTAAAAGAAATACATTTAACTACTTTTATGTGAGTAGCCAGTAGTCTTTGTCAGAATTTATCACAACAACAAGCTTTCATGACCTTACATCGGTCCTTACACAAATGGATTTCCTTACATTTAACTTCCTCTAGTCATGTCAACTTCCTCTCTACCGGCTTACAATGTTTTGATTCTCACTGCTTTGTACATCGGCATGCAGTGGATTGCTTTACTCTAAATAATGTTTGCAATTAATTTCCCACATTTTTTGTTGAAAATGATGTGTGTGCCACATTGGGTTAATTATCGGAACAATCTGATTGGTCAGTAAAATCTACAGTCAGCTACTCATAGCTGCCAACTGTAGTGTCAGAGCAGCTTTACCTTAACAAGATTATGCTAGCAGCTGAATTAGTCAAATTAGTCAAATCTTAGAGGCAGCGTTGCACTTTAAACAGCCGGGAAAAACTTTGGTAAGCCTTCAAGGTTCAGTGAGATCTTATGGTACTAAAACTTTGTGTAAGTAAAGCTTATCTTGCTTTTGTGCCACTCGGAAAACAAAAAGGAAGATTTTCACTTTTCCCATGAATGTTACTAAACGTTTCTCCCAAAATTTTGATGTATCGTTCCTCCGGTACAGTAGCTTCAAACCTAGACCAGTCGGATTCTTGGTGTCAGTTAAATGTAAGACAGTCCATTGCTAACTTTACCCAGTTGTGTCACTCAGCTCTGCTGTATAGATGTTGGTCTATTTTACATATTTATCACAAATTCCAAGAATACTGAATAATGCTTTTATTATTTGAGGCTGTGAACATGATAACAGACCCTGTGGTGGAAAATTCTCTGTTATCGTTTTCACTCCTCAAAACAGTCACTGTATTTAGCTTCTTAGTTTTAAATGGATCCGGGCTGATATAACAATATGATTCAACAAAGACAAAAAAAAAAAGATAAGAAATACAAGTACAGTGCTTATTTAAATGCAATAAAAGACTGAATAAAACAACTAAACACAAAGACTGTTTGAACATGCCTCGCATCTCTGATGTTCATCAAAGCAAAACTGGGAACATTTTTACAACGTAGTTTGTTTGCAACACCCAGAATTCCTTTGCTGTTCGGCGACCACGCCGACGCATTCTCCCGCACGTGACGTTTCATTCCTGTAGCATTCCGAACACACATTTCTCTTTGGTCCCTACGTCACCCTGTCTCATTCTTATCATTTCCTCTCTGCAGAAAACACTCATGTATGCGTGTGTGTGTGTGTGTGCTATGGCGGCATCTCTCTTCCGGCAGCTATTTCATAGGCGCAGAGCCGCTCCGCGGCCTGGCACGCCATTCGCTCATGAGATAAACAACGCTTTGACACAGGCGCTTCATTGTCTTTCTGAGTGGCAGTGTGTTTTGCTGTTGCCTGGCTGAGCAGACAACTGAGCGGCCTTTGTGCTGCTCCCAGTTGCAAGGTTATATTGGTCACCCTTAGCATCTGATTTGATCATATGGCAATGGGATGTCTTTTGAAGCCCGGAGCAGCCCTGGAAAGAAATTCTTGCGCTAGTTTTTTTATGTTACAGATGGAGCCCCCGTCCATTATGTCCATCCTGGACCCAGTGGGTGTAAAACGTCCACATAGAAGAGCGGTTCAAATGTCTTTCGTCGCTATGTTGAAATGTCATCACACAACAACATGCCCACACATTGTTCATCCTGTTCCAGAGCTTGCCAGGGCTTACACAATATGGGTTTTGATGAATAACAGACTGACTGGTCCAGTCCCGGCGGAGCATTAGCGGGCAGCTCCACAATAATCACTTCCTTCAGAAGACCTCTCAGAAGAAGCATCTAGAGAATCCGTGCAGACCAGCATGGCAGCTTTTATCTTGGAAGGCCAGGTCCCCCAGCTTCATCATCGTTATGTAATTCCAGCTCGGCCAGTAGCCACAGGAAAGAACAATTACAGGATGACCCATTTGAATGCATCACTGTCTGGCCAATCAGTGACTTGCTCTAAAAAAAAAAAAATGGGGGGACGGGATTCTGGCTAGCAAGGAAACACTTTTTGTGTGTGTGTGTGTGTGTGTGTGTGTGTGTATGCGGGTGTGGGTGTGTGTGTGTGTGTTTAACATTGGCTTTAGATGAGGATGCTTCCTTGTCTTAGACACATTAATGTTTGGAAAAATTATGTGAACTAATTAATTATTTATTTAAAAATGGTAATATTTTAAGAGGTATGTGCAATGTCTGGCTTAAACTAAAGCAAGCACCGTGGAGATAAAAGCCTACACATCCCTTTGAAAAGACAAGGATTTTGTAATGATAAATCCGTTCCCAACTTTTATTTTTTATTTATTTATTTTTCCACATTCAAATTCAACTCCAAAACAAACAAATCTGTTTGAGGGGAAAACATGAAAAGCAACAAAGCTGTGAAATGCTAAACTTAATAGTTCGTTGAACCACCTTTTTGATTAAATTCTGGTGTTAGCTTTCCGAGGGAAAATCTTTTGCGTACCGCCATCCAACCATCCAAGCAGGCTTAGACGAAAAGCTTTACAAGGGAACAAAAGAAGAAAGATAAGATACATCAAAAACACCAAAATCTGTAAAACAAAAAAGACAACAAAATGCATCATATAAAAAGAAGGAAGCACTGAAATGATACACTTTAGCAAATAAAAACCTCAAGCGAGACTCAAACGAACGAACATCGTTCATCTTTATGGATAAGCTGCAGTAAAAGGGAATGTTTTCTGCAGTCATGACTTGAAGAAGCCAACAGCTTCTGCTCATCTCGTGTTTAGTTTCAGAAACTAAAAGCTGCTACTCGTTGTTCTGGTCCTTGGAACGCAGCCTGAAGAGCTCTCAGACGACCTGAGAGGAGCACGCTGCACACATGCTCATCCTTAAAACAGACGATACAGAAGAACAAATAAAATATGCACTAATTCAGTAGCTTTTTGCTCTTGGCTTGAGAGTTGTAGTATTAAAGTTGTAGAATTAAAATACCAGTATCTTTATCAGAAGCAAGATGGAGTTTCTTCTAGCTTTTCCACGCCATGACTGTATGTTTTTCTCAGAGCTGATTTGTCATTCTTGTGAGTGAGAGAAATGTGCAGAAGGCTTGTTTCAGCCAGCTGAACAGCAGTGCTCAACAACAGGAGGGGACGGGAGACCACTCTGGCACTTTCTTTCAAAGTCTGTGATGGAAAGTTGTAGCTATTTTCATTCTATCATATAAAACCCATACATTGTGCTGAAACATGTAACCGGCTTAAAGATAAAGATAAACGTCGAGCAAATGATTCTGGAAATGTTAATGTTTGACTATGGTACTAAAATTATTCTTTAAAAACCAAAGTAAAATTCCCTCTGCTCCAGTCAGGACACAAAAAGTAATATTTTACCACCTGAAACTTTTTCGGCACTTGCTAACATAGTTAGCAAGTGTTAGCTAAGCTAACTATAACAAACCTTAGCTTCATTTTGTTGTGCCAAATGTCTTCATGGCAAGATTACATGACGATGTAAATTCATTTTTAAGTTATCGTTGGCTGTTGTACTATTAAATCACAGCCTTTACTTTAAGTTAAAGTCTGTTATGGAACTAGTAACATGAAATTAATGTAGCATTTGAGACGAATGATGTAAAAAACAAATCTTACTTAGCATGTAGTGC